TGTTTTGTCAAGATTGTTGATATGGCGTTATTTGAGGTCGTTGATGCTTACGCACTCGAGGATAATGAAATGGCAGAGTGTATTACAAGCGGTATCTTTGACGGCGTGGAGTACTTGATTGTTGGTACCGGATATGCTTCTGCTGAAAGAGAGGAGTACATGAAAGGTCGCGTTTTGGTATTTGAGGTATCGGGTTCCTCTACGAAAAAGTTATCACTCGTTCTGCAACATGAGTTGCTGGGAGGTGTATATGCCGCTGAGGTTGTTGAAGGAAAGCTAGTTTGTGCTGTTAACTCTATTGTAAGTCTCTTTGTGCTACTTACAATATGCTTTGCTAACACTCAATGTAGGTACGTCTGTGTACAATTTTTCTAAATGCGTCGACGGGTGTCTTGGATTTCAAACAAGAATGCGGATTCCGCTCGCCAACGATGGCTATTAATCTTTCTTCTTACCAAGATTATGTTCTGGTTGGAGATCTAATGAAGAGTGTCACTTTATTGCAAATCAAACCCGGGAGTACAACCTCATCAGAAAACTACCGCTTCCGAGAAGTTGCTCGGCATTACGAGCCAATGTGGATGACAGATGCAGAAATTTTGGACGAGAATACTTGTATTGGTGTTGAGGCTGAGGGAAATATGGCTGTCTTTCAGTATGACACCTCCGAATCCGCAAAGCAAATCTCAGGTGACGACGAACCAATCTTAGACGTGATCGCATGTATGAGAATTGGCGAAATTGTCAATCGAGTACGAAGGAGTATGTAATTATGTAATGATTCCCAAGAGAGGGCCAGGGCTAACTTGTTTTATAGTACCGAAAGCTGTAAGAGAAATGGCGTCGGCAGAATATCATATCGTGACGCAACGAGCATACTTTGCAACTGTAAGCAACCAGTCATCTGCTCCTTTGTTCTGGATGGATCCAAACTAACGCGATAATTCTAGCGTGATGGTGGGATTTACATGTACGGAGATATTGCCCCCGACAAGATTGACACCCTGATTAATTTGCAGTACAACATGTCTGAGGTCGTCAAATCAGCCGGTAATCTCAATATTCTTGATTTCCGTAGATTTACCAATCAAAGGCATAACCCTGGAGAATTGAAGCGTTTTATTGACGGCGATTATATTGAGCAGTTTTTAGAACTCGAAGATGAGGAAAAAGAGAAGATTGTGAATGGGGGCTTTCGAGGTACTGTCAAGCTCGGCATAGATGTTACAGAGGCCACGGCCATAGTAGAGGAACTGAAGCGGCTGCATTAATCAGTTTTCGGGGCTTTGTTAGTCTGCTAGTAAAATTTGGTGAATGACAGATATTTACATTGCATCAAGTTCGTGATATGTACAGAATTTTTTTTTATTGTATTGCTCGAAATAGAAGAAAATAAAAGAACGCGTTTTTAGTCTGCTCCTGGTCGGACATAGTTGCCTTTGGCATCTTTGACCAACTCGCCCGAGTTCACTAGCTGCTCATACATATCCTGCGGAACCCAGCCCTTTGTAGAGTAGAATGGCGATGACTGGATAATCTTATCCCATTCTACTGTTATCTGGTCGTGCTGCTCAATCTCCTGCTCTGTAAAAACACCCTTGGCATCTAAATCTTTGAGCTCTGGAAGTTGAGCTTGCTGGGCTTTGATCAAAGAGTCTCGCAGGTCGACAATCTCGAGAGGATGGTATTTGTAATCTGATGCTGTAGCGACACGGTACGGATCCCGCAACGCCTTAACATGAGGAGAAAAGGCATTGATAAGAGTAGGAAACGTATGTTTTACTAAGAATTCAAATGAGAATTGATTGGCGGTAGCGGCAATCATATAGTCGACTTGACGTCTCTGTTGCTCAGGAAGCAAATCATAGGATTCAACTTCTTCTTTTTTGTAAATCTTGTAGCCGTTGTAGTTGACAAATTTTGGCGCTCCGTGCAAAAAATAGGGCTTTATGCTAGAGCCTTCCCAATCGAGAAGATAAGGAGATGAATAGGGATTTTCGATGCCGCCACCAGTCAGAGATCCAACGTCAACAAGGATATTGGTAGGATCCATGTCCGGATGACAGAGGCGAGGAGACAAAAGATCTGAATCTGCAGGAACATCGGGAATCAGGCGAGGCGCAATGTACGCATATTTGTCATAAGTATCTAGCCAAGTTGGCAAGTAAAGCCCAAGCTCTGAAGTGCCGACCATAGGGTCAGAGAGTAGCGTGCGATAGGCCATAATGTGCGCACGCGCAACGGCTGCAAGGTAGTCTTGTGGCGTATACCATGGACCTCGATCAGTTGATCCAACATGGTCAATGCCATTCTGCCAAAAACAGCTTTCAACAGTTGGTCCCAATCTCCAGCGATCAACAAACTCTGGATTTTCTTCGCCATCATAAGGAAGTTTGTCTTGCAGTGCTGAATCCACATCCGCCGTGTAGTATAAGCTACCATAGCCATTAAAGCGAGTAGCCAAAATGCGCTCCATGAGATCGATAACCACTCTGAGAACAGGGGCGCGGCTTGCCACGGATCCAGCCATGGGATCCCATCGTGACATCAAGTTCGCCATCGTGCGGTTCCCTTCTGGAGCGATATACTCCATCATGATGAACTCTCTTTCAATGGGATTATCCCCAGTTGGATGCCAAGAAACAACTTCAGGAATTAGTAAACCCCATTTCTTGCGCATAAAGTCCATAGTTGCAACCTCTGATTGCATTCGTGCTCTTCTCGCTTCCCAGCTGAGATCGAGAGGATACGGGATTCTGAGAATGTACTGCTTGCCATCGTCCATATTGATCAAATAGATACGATGATGCTTGCCCTCGCTTAAGCTTGCAATCGAAACTACGCTAGAAGGCGCGACAGTGTCTTTCTGGTTTCGAAACTGCCGAACGATTTCATTGATTCCGCCTACCGAGAACGGTGTATATCGTTTATCCTTCTCGGCCTTGTCGTTTTTCAACCAGCTTCCCCATGTATATCGATAAAATTGGTCTCGCTCGTCTTCAGAAGAGCTGTCGATTGTCGTGAAATGGTCATCGCCTGCCGACGGTTTGTTGTCCTGTGTAAATCTGACGCGGGAAGTCACGAACGACCTCACTGGCTTCTGAAAAAGCAGTCGAGAACGAATTGTACGTATCATGCTAACCATTTTTGAAGATAGTGGCTTATATATTGTTTTTGATTTTTTTCCTTTTTCCCCTTAAATTTATATGCTGGCACGTAAATTGGTGGTGGTCGCAAACTAAAGGTAAAAAGACGCAGTAGGCTCAAAAATAAATGTGATCATTTTCGTAAATTCAAATTCTGCTGGGAGTTTATCAAATACTCGTTGTAGATACTTATTTTACTGGTTTACTAGCATCTTTGGCAATAGAAGAATACAGAAATATTTCACGGAATAATATTATACAAAATTATAGCTTTTTAATCATACCACATCTTAATCAGCTCCTCACTTACTCCATTAGACGTTAAAACTCCGATATCAGTAATTAACGCCGTAATCAAATTATCACTTGTGAAATCAAGAAGCGGACTATTTAAGAGAACTTCGTCATATTCATCATCTTGATCTTGTTCAGTAGAAAATGATGTTGCGTCAGGATTTTCATCTGGCAGATCAAAAGGCGACAAAGGAAATAAACGAACGAATTTATGGCTGTTGTTATTAGTATCCAGATATAAAATGCACACGAAAAATAACATATATACCTTTCGGCGACGACATAGACAGGTTTGTTAGCATCTTTAGCAAGCACCGCAATTTGATATGTTCCAATCTATTGTATCACATGTTAGTGACCCATAATGTCTGCGAAAAAAAAAACCATTTGCTGTCCCTCACTCTGTTTATTATACCACCACTTTCAGCCACGCCTTCCGCACCAATAAATATCTTATCAACCTTTTGAATTACATATCCAACCGCTCCATCAGCGATAACCCTGACCGGAATGCCATTCTGGCGCAAAATCTTTGCCGTGACAAGTCCTTCGCCTGTCGGCCTCGATTCCGTGACAAACACGCTGAATCGGATGTGTCTACGAGCAGCGAGAAGTAGAAGTTCAGTAACCGCACGAGAATGCGAGTGAATCAAAATAGTCTATTTTGAGTTAGAACTGTCTCAATACTAAATAATGGGGGGAAGCGTACATCGTCGTCTCGAAGAAAAGGAAGCCCGAGTTCTGCTATTTTAAATCTAGACTCTTTTGCTCTTTGCAGGAAAAGACCTCCATTCTTGACCAAATGCTGTTTGCAAGCTTCCCAATCCTAAAGACTTCATTTTAGTTATTTGAATCGACACTGTTTATAACTGACCATGCTACTAACTCCGTACTCTTGAATATTGCGCAAAACAAATCGTTGAAACATATCACAACCAGCCGATAAACTAATTGAGTTTTTGATTCCACTTTTCAGTTCTTGAACAGCTTTTGCAAGTATGTCAATCAACTCAGAGGCCGTCGATGCTATAGTAATCTGGTTGGTTATCTTATTTTGTATATCAAGCCATACCAACAGTAAACAGAAACTTACGGCCACTTTTACTTAATAAAACAACTAGTGCCTCAATAGCAGCGACAGGCATAGTCATTGCAGGATCGCCTTTCAGGAATTGTCGGTACGTGGAGACGATGTCAAACGACGAGTCTGCAGCAGTCGCATCTGCGGAAAGAGCTGCAGTTGATTGAGCTATATCATATTCGTTAGCAGATAGTAGTATTTGTAGATAGACTAATTAAATACCTAAGCCAGCCATTATCATATAACTAAAAAAAATACAATAGATTTGGCGGATATATTATGAAAACCGTGAAATCTGTAATAAACCTACGCCGCACGAGACACTTGATTTATAGCCCTTTTCAAAGACTTTTTAAAGACTCAACTCAAGAAGATTATATACGGCACAATTGCATCAGACAGATTAAGAAGCTTTTTGCTTAATAAAAAAATTTTTACTGGAAAAACAATTGACAATAAATAAATTGAAAAATGAAATACACTCCACACGGGACTCGAACCCGCAGTCTTCCGCTTAACTCGTCGTAACAAAATCAGAATGAGAGATAAATGCTAGGAGGCGGACGCCTTACCATTAGGCCAATGGAGCTTGATCAAAACAAATTATAAAAATATAGCTCTATAAATCAAGAGCAAAAATTTTAAAGAGATCCTGTTCTGGGACTGTATATTTTCTATGCATGCTCAATATTTTTTATGAGATATAGGTAGAGTAGTTGGTGTCGGCTTTCGTCTTTGCATACTGCTTTGATATTTCTATGACGAGTCTAGGAGGGCGGGTTGTGCGGTTTTTAGTCATGTTGCATGTCTGTTGTATCGCACTCTGCTTACCGATGATACAAGACTTGACACACTATAATGCAGAATATGGAAGAGAAAAAAATGGTATGCAATAAAAATGTGCATAGATTTACGAATAAGAAAAAAAAATCTAACAGGTTTTAAAATATAGTACATCTGTCCCCAAAAATATTTTGCCCAATCGCTTCTCTAATTATTTATAAATCTGTGCTATTGCTCAGCCCACTTTTGCGATCAAAATCAGCCTCTACTCCTTCATCAACCGCTTCTTCATTGTTACTATCGCTGCAAAGTGTAAAACAGTCCAAAAGACTTCGGGCACTGACGTGCATTACTCCGCAATCGCGATCGCTTATTCCGAAATGTAACATGATGGTATCATCAAGCCAGCCATGATAATATTGGTTGACTAGTGGGTTGGCGAATGTTGAATTAGGAATTCCAAACATTTCCGCATAAGCACTGACTAGCTCTGCATCTCGACGAGCCGCGTCTTCTTCGGCTTCTTCATCTTGCTCGGCAATCGTCTCCTCTCCGTCTCTCTTTCTTAACTTCCATTGCCCGACACTTTCCTTAGAATTCGCAAATAAATCATCTTCTGACACAGCATCTGCAGCGGAACTAGTATCATTTAAAACCGATGAACCAGGTGGGGCAACAGAAAGTCCGTCGTTGTCATTAGCTGCGATACTATCAGTCTGGCCGTCGATACCTGATTCGAAATCTGGGGAATTGACATCTTTAATAGAGTTCTCGTACTCATCTGCCTCTTGATCATCCAGCAGATTCCAAATCTCTTTACCTCCGTAAACGTGGTCGTTCCATTTACCATGCTTTGATCTACTTTGAGGGTCCCATGACATCGATACTGTATAAATAAGACTCTTCTCATCTACTCCGACATAAATAATATTATTTGTCCGACCAATAACCTCAAACGGAGCAGTGATATTCATCAGTACGACATATCTTCGGTAGAAAATTTCCAAATTATTGAGATATTTGACGTGGAAAATCTCAATATTGACAGTGTTGTGAATTGTGGGAATGCAAGGAAAATCACAAAGAGTGACTCTTAGTGAGTTCGTCGCCTGATGAATGCTATCATGAACCTTCTCTAGGGACGACGAATAAGTCTTCTTCAACTCCTGAATGCACGAAGGAGTTTCGCGGTTTTGTAAAAGGTTCGAATATTCATCATCACTTGAAACTCCACTGAGCAAGTTTTCGACGGGTGCCAGCGATCGATTCGAAAATGACCGATGAACATAGGGTATGTTGTTTTCGTCGTAAAACAGAAACCAATTCTTATGAATACTTGCGTCATCATCGCGAGGCAATTCTAAGGGCTTGTCGAATCTGATTGGGAGATGAGAAATATTCATCTTCTCACCAAGGGCAGGAATATAAACTCGGAGATCAATAAGGTACTGAGACCAGCAATTAGAATGACCAGCTGCGCCAACAATCATCAAAGGTTCTCCTCTCGGAGAGAAAAACAAACGAGGATCCATGGCTCCGACGTCGTCTTTCAGTAGCGCGTTTTCACCGGTACAAGCACCTTCTGGTGGGGTGAAGTCTGCGTAGGCAAAGGTAGCTGGTTCGTTACTGCAAGATAATATCTGGCGCTCGACACCTCTACTCTTTGTCCAATTCATGTCACAGTACGACATGTGATGTTTTGTATGACCATTGTCTGTGCGAAGTATGTTTGTGACGACCAGGTATGGATTCGGAGATCCCGGAGGATATGACAAAACAGTTGGGTTGTAATTGGAAGGAGGACTGAATCCATTCGAAGGAAATATAGCGCGCGCGACTGTGCCCTCTGGCCCTGATTCAGAAGCGAGAATAGTTGCAGAATCGCGCGTATGCTTGGGATTTGAACAGAATTGCAGGTGTCGCAATGGATGAGGGTCGGATTTCAAAATGAGGTTGTGCTCGTACTGTTTGATAATTGAGGCTCTGATGCCGGCTGGCGTCTTCATGTCGTAGACCAGACCTGCAGAGGTTGTTTTTGGAGTCGTGAGGCGAAAGGGGACGTAGTCGAGGTAGTCAGACAGCTGCGAGGAGGCTATCATTGTTATCGACAGTACCACAAAGCCGAGTGCCACGAGCAAAAGCAGAAGCTTGTGCAGCGGCATTGCCGCACCAAAAAGCGCCATGATGAGAGCGAAGACGAAAGTAGTTGCGGTCGTGAGGTCAAGAAAGGAGGACGCGATTGTATGGGGATCTATCTATCTTACCGCCACAGGGCATGCGGTAGAGACGTTTGGCGCTAGTCCAGTTCAGGCAGTCGGACAGCGTTGTATTTACGCCTACGCGTTTAGATCGAGACTTCTAATACAAGAGAAAAGAGGTACAAGAGATTTTTTTTGTAGTTTTTAGATTGGAGAATTAGATTGGAGAATATAAGTAAGAACAGAGTACTAAGATGTGCTCGTGTAGACGGCCCAAGGGGTGAGATTCTGCTCTATAAAGTTTACGCGCCACACTGTGAATTGTTGACGAAGTTGAATGTGATTTTACACCTTTAAGATAATTTCGGACGGATGTTTTTTCAAACTAGCTATGAGTCAGCTGGATTGAAAGCGCGGGGAATCAAAAGTTGAGGCAGTCTGAAGAGTAGTGTGGATGCTGGATACTTGCGACTGATTGAGCGTACCGAACTTGCGGTTAGGCTCTTAGTTGTGATTGCAGTATGAGATACTGAGTCGAAATTAGTATCAATATGATCTTAAAGTTGAATGAGGTATAAGAAATAACCTGGCAATAGAATCGGATCTGAGTAGCACGTATTGTCTCTCTGATAAAGATGAAGATGCTTCATTACCTACCGCGTTTGCTAAGACTGATCTGTAAATTACTGACATCTGAATACCGTTTGAATTGTAACAGTCTGTTTTCAGACTGATATATCCAAAACAGATCATAAGAGTAAGTTATTTGGCTACTTAGGGATCTGCATGTCTCCCGTATCTTCTTGAGAAAACTACTCGTTTCAATTTTCTCTCTTTTTTGCTCCATACTACGTAGAGCTACCAGATACGTAATGGAATTAAATAAACACAAATATAAAACAATGATTATATGATAATTGCAAAAAACCCTTGATCGCCATATCGAAATTAGACAAATGGGCTCTAGCAAAAAGGGCTCTAGCAGAAAGGAAAAGGCTCATCGGGTTAGGGGTGTTCCGAACACTATTTGGATACTATGGGCTTTTACTAAAACTATTTACCAATAAAGTAAAAACAAATCTTTCAAATAGCAAATAAGAATATGCAATCCTTTATTCACTTGCAGACTTACTGCCAGATCACCAAATAAGCAGCCTTTTGGCACAAGTCACCAACTACGAGTCGACAAGCATACTTGTATAACCTTTATAAGAACTTCACCACTAGATGATAACCCGCAAATTAAGACGGTACAAGTTCATTTTAAGAACGTGATTATGACGATTCTTGTATTGAGAGGTTCATATTGTCCAGACATGTTTGCATTCTTATTTATACAAGATTTACAGAATACCTACCACAGAATCTATAATTATTACGTCTCTAACCAGTGTTTGCAAGCCACATTATTAGTGCCTTTCCGTCTCAACTAGAAGCAATATATATATATACATATATATATATATTCTACGTATCAAAACATCAATACCGGAAAACATCAATCGATACCTTCACAATGGAAAGGGTTAGGTTAAACTCCGATTGAGGCCCACCCTCGAGCACAAAACCCACCAAAAAAGTTGAGGCTTGGTTTCTCTTTGAATTCATCTTGTTCTCTTTTCTTTTCTTATCCATCTTTTGCTTTCTTTGATTCGTCTTTACTAAGAATATTTGGAAAGTGCTTATACTCTTGATATAGTTTTGCTGTATCCTTCGATTACCCATTCCAATTTCCTTCGCAGTCGTGCTTGTGAATCTCAGCATATCTCCTCCTTTTCTGTTCCACAATCTCGAGCTCGTTCCAGCTTATCATCTTTCTTCAATATAAAAAATCATTCCGGATAAATGTCAAAAGTATGCTCTCTCTTATGCTTTACTAGTTCTGTGTCTATTATTGCTGGTGGACAGTTTCTTGTCTTGCTCATTTCCTCTCTAATTTGACTGATCTGGCCCCACGCTGATCCTTAAATGCTCGCTATTTATTACGGCGCTCACTAACAGTCTCTTCCCAAATATAGTCACAATTTTTGCAAGAATACAAACTTGTGGTAGTCGGAGGTGGTGGAGTTGGAAAATCGGCTCTTACTATTCAATTGATCCAGAGTCATTTTGTCGACGAATACGATCCCACGATCGAAGGTAAGATTGACCCATTTCGCACTGTATACTAAGAATCCGTCTAATAATTACAAAGACTCATACCGAAAACAATGCGGCATTGATGGTGAAGTGGCCTTGCTTGACGTTCTTGATACAGCCGGCCAGGAAGAGTACTCAGCCATGCGTGAACAGTACATGCGAGCTGGCCAAGGCTTTTTACTTGTTTACTCTATAACCTCGCGATCCTCGTTCGAAGAAATCACATCTTTTCAGCAGCAGATTCTTCGGGTCAAGGATAAGGATTATTTCCCGATTATTGTGGTTGGCAACAAGTGCGATCTTGAAACTGAGCGACAAGTTTCCCAGCAGGGTTAGTTTTCAATCTTTCAAAACTTTTATATCAAAACTATCGTCTAATAAGATATTTACAGAGGGCAAGCAACTAGCCAAGCAGTTCCAGTGCGGTTTTATTGAAACGTCAGCCAAACAACGCATCAACGTTGACGAA